GAAAAAAAAAAAAAGGCTCTGGAATGTGCTCCGAGCTCTCCCGGGATCCTTCCCTTCTCCAGCCTGGCCATTCCCAGCTCTCCCAGCCTGGATCCAGAGCCTGCCATTGGATCCATCCCCAGCCCAGCTCCTCCCTGGGAAGGAGTTCCGGGAACAAGGGGGTTCCCTGGGAATCTCGGCACTCAGGGAAGGGTCTCCCTTCCCCTTTCCTGCCTTTTCCATCCCCACATTCCATAAAAATCCCTCTGACTGGATCCTGAGTGTCCTTTATCCTGGAATCCTGGAATGGTTTGGGTGGGAAGGGACCTTAGAGCTCATTTAATTCCCCCTGGATCAGGGACACCTCCCGCTATCCCAGGGAATCCAACCCGGCCTTGGGCACTCCCAGGGCCGGATAACGAGGAGTTCTCCAGGAATGCTCCAGGAATGCTCCAGGAACGCCCCAGGAACGCTCCCCCACTCACGTCCTTCTGCCTGTGGAAGCCGATCTGCCCCACGTCCATGTCCGACGTTTTCTTCAGGTTGCTCCAGGGGGTGTAAACGACGCTCACGTTGTTCATCTTGCACCCTGGGGGGCGGGAAAGCATCCCAGTCCCGGGAATCCCTGCTGGAATTCCTGCCCGTCCCCAACATCCCTGCTGGAATTCCTGCCTGTCCCCAACATCCCTGATGGAATTCCTGCCTGTCCCGAACATCCCTGATGGAATTCCTGCCTGTCCCAAACATCCCTGTGGAATTTCTCCCTCCCTGTCCCAGAAATCCCTGCTGGAATTTCTCCCTCCCTGTCCCAAACATCCCTGTGGAATTTCACCTTTTCCCAAACATCCCTGATGGAACTTCTCCATCCCTCTCCCAAACATCCCTGCTGGAATTTCTCCCTCCCTGTCCCAAACATCCCTGATGGAATTTCTCCATCCCTATCCCAGAAATCCCTGTGGAACTTCTCCATCCTTGTCCCAAACATCCCCGTGGAATTTCACCTTTTCCCAAACATCCCTGATGGAATTTCTCCCTGTCCCAGAAATCCCTGCTGGAATTTCCTCCTGTCCGAAACATCACTGATGGAACTTCTCCATCCTTGTCCCAAACATCCCTGCTGGAATTTCTCCATCCCTGTCCCAAATATCCCTGATGGAATTTCTCCATCCCTGTCCCAAATATCCCTGATGGAATTTCCCTCTGACCCAAATATCCCTGATGGAATTTCCCACTTTTCCAAACATCCCTGCTGGCATTTCTCCCTCCCTGTCCCAGAAATCCCTGATGGAATTTCTCCATCCCTGTCCCAAACATCCCTCCTGGAATTTCTCCCTGTCCCAGAAATCCCTGTGGAATTTAAAATCCCTCTTCACGAGGAATCCCGAGCAACATCTCCTTCCCTAAATCCCACGGGATTAACGGGGAAACGTCCCGGGAATCGGATCCGGGATCCAGGAGTGGAAAGAGCCCCCCTTGCCAGGCGTTTCCCGGGAATCAGGATTACCTTGGATGCTGTTGGCCTTCACCAGGTGGGCACAGTCGATCAACACTTCCTTGGGAATGTCGTCCACGGTCTGGCCCTGGGGGAGAGCAGGGAAAGGCCTGGGATCGGGATATCGGGATCGGCCTTCCCTGGGAGGAGGGGCTGGGCTGGAATTCCCAGAGAAGCTGTGGCTGCCCCTGGATCCCTGGGAGTGTCCAAGGCCAGGTTGGATTCCCTGGGATAGCGGGAGGTGTCCCTGCCCATGGAATGGGATGGGATTTAAGGGCCCTTCCCACCCAAACCATTCCAGCATTCCAGGATAAAGGACACTCAGGATCCAGTCAGAGGGATTTTTCTGGAATGTGGGGATGGAAAAGGCGGGAAAGGGGAAGGGAGACCCTTCCCANGGGCGGCTCCAAGGGAATCCAACCCGGCCTTGGACACTCCCAGGGATCCAGGGGCAGCCACGGCTTCTCTGGGAATTCCAGCCCAGCCCCCCCCCCCCCTCCCAGCCAGGAATCCCTTCCCAATCTCCCCCCCAAATCTCCCCTTTCCCACTGGGATCCATTCCCTGGGGCCTGTCATTCCAGGCCCTGATCCCCAGCTCCCTCAGATATTCCCAGATTTCCAGCCCCTTCCCAGCTCCCTTATTCTCAGTTTTCCAGCCCCTTCCCATCTCCCTCAGATATTCCCGGTTCTCCAACCCATTCCCAGCTCCCTCAGCCATTCCCTGCTTTTCCAGCCCCTTCCCAGCTCCCTCAGCCATTTCCGGATTTCCAGCTCCTTTTCCAACTCCCTCAACCATTCCCAGATTTCCAACCCCTTCCCAGCTCCCTCAGCCATTCCTGGTTCTCCAGCCCCTTCCCAGCTCCCTTATTCCCGGATTTCCAACCCCTTCCCAGCTCCCTCAACCATTCCTGGTTCTCCAGCCCCTTCCCAGCTCTCTCCACCATTCCCAGTTCTCCAACCCCTTCCCATTTCCCTCAGCCATTCCCAGTTTTCCAGCCCCTTCCCAGCTCCCTCAGCCATTCCTGCTTTTCCAGCCCCTTCCCAGCTCAGCCATTCCCAGTTTTCCAGCCACTTCCCACCTCCCTCAACCATTCCCGGTTCTCCAGCCCCTTCCCAGCTCCCTCAGACATTCCTGGTTCTCCAGCCCCTTCCCAGCTCAGCCATTCCCAGATTTCCAGCCCCTTTCCAACTCCCTCAGCCATTCCAGTTTCTACAACCTCTTCCCAGCTCCCTTATTCCCGGATTTCCAGCCCCTTCCCATCTCCCTCAGATATTCCAGGTTCTTCAGCCCCTTCCCATCTCCATCAGCCATTCCAGTTTCTCCAGCCCTTTCTCAGATCCCTTATTCCCGGATTTCCAACCCTTTCCCAGCTCCCTCGGCCATTCCCGGTTCTCCAGCCCCTTCCCATCTCCCTCAGATATTCCCTGTTCTCCAGCCCCTTCCCAGCTCCCTTATTCCCAGTTCTCCAGCCCCTTCCCATCTCCCTCAGCCATTCCCAGTTTTCCAGCCCCTTCCCACCTCCCTCATCATTCCCGCTTTCCCATCTCCACCCCCTTCCCTGGCCACCCTCCAGCCCCTTCCCCATCTCGTCCCGAGGATCCCAAAACTCCCCCCGGCCTTCCAAGGCCTTCCCATCTTCCCGGGGGTGAGAGAACTTCCCAAACAACTCTTCCCTGACTTTATCCCGGGTTTTTCCCGCCTCCAGCTACGTCTGCATCGCCATGGAAGCGCTGGATCAGCTGCTCATGGCCTGTCACTGCCAGAGCATCAACCTGTTCGTGGAGAGCTTCCTGAAGATGGTGGCCAAGCTCCTGGAATCCGAGAAACCCAACCTGCAAATCCTGGGAACCAACTCCGTGAGTTCGCCTGCCCTCGGATCCATCCCCGGCCCAGCTCCTCCAGGAGCTCTGGAATGTGCTCCAAGCTCTCCCGGGATCCTTCCCTTCTCCAGCCTGGCCATTCCCAGCTCTCCCAGCCTGGATCCAGAGCCTGCCATTGGATCCATCCCCAGCCCAGCTCCTCCCTGGGAAGGAGTCCAGGGAACAATCCCGGGCTGCTTTGGGTGGGAAGGGACTTTAAATCCCATCCCCTGCCAGGGGCAGGGACCTCTCCCACCATCCCAGATTTCTCCAAGCCCTCTCCCCCCCCGGGATCCCCTCCAGGCTCCCTCGCATCCCGAAT